CCGTGGCCTTGAAAGATTTGAGAACGACGAATTCTTTCAAACTTCAAGCAATTTAATTTGTGTTCATATTTTCATTTTTATAAACAGAACGTATTGACATTTGCTTGGAAAAAGTCGATATCAAAAAGTTATAGAAAAAATATATTGTTTAAACGAATGATTTTTTTTTTTTTTTTGTCGCTGAAGAACACTTTTCATCGATTTACGCAAAAACTGTATTTTAAGTAATTTCTCGAGATATTTGACAATATTCCGGAGCCGCAACTTTGAGGTTAGGTTTCACCCCGTTCGAATCACGTGTCAAATATTTCTTGAGAAACTACATTTAAATCCAAATTCCATCGAAATCGGTATGTTCTCTTGTTAGTGAGATCGGGAATATCAAACCTTAGAAGAAAAGTGACTTTCCTTTGAACATCGGGGGAACAAAACCAAGCGTTGGACAAAAACTACGCAAAATATATGAAAATGAATAAATAATTTTAGAATAATTCAAAATAAATAAAATAAATCAATTACTTCTCGAATAATAAATAAATTGAATTTGCTCTAATAAAAGAACATCAAAAATTACTAGTCACTTCGAGCATCTTTAATTATACTTTAATTAACTCTCGAATTTCCGTGTTACTTGTATAATTCATTACTGAAAATTGTTACCTCTGCGTGCAGTAAACTATTCTGTTCTTTCACAAAAACAAGTTGCAAGGAAACTAGGTGTGCCAATATTTTTTCGTAGGAAAGCACGCACCTCCGAAGTTGGCTTCGAGAGTTTCGAGAAGCGCAGAACTCGACGTTGACGAGAAAATTTTGGAATGTTAGTTTGCAACTACACACAGTTGCAAAGTTGACTAACGCCATGGTTACGACGCTTGGATGACACTTGTCTTACATGCGACATCGCGATGCGAATTATTACTTAACGCGTGCGTCGTCAAAGCAGTTGATATATTATCACACAATCTTTCATTAAATCATCAATCGATAAGTAGTTTCTTGTTTAGAGAGCTGCTATCACAAGTATACCACTTGTGGTACACTTGGCCTGAAGATCAAGTTTAACGTGTACCACCGG